TCTCAGCAGAGACAGGCCACCCTAAGCAAGCAGAGTCACATGGTCCTCCGCTCCTGCAACCTGGAGACCCAGGAAGAAGAGGTGTGAGTGGCAAGGGAAGCCTCGATTCCTGCTTGCGAAGTCAGGAGTGAAAGTGGGACTTGGTTTAAAAAAGAGAACAGTACCAAGCAAAGTGGAACTAATTGGTTGTCCTCTAGGCAGACAAAAGTTGAAGTTCTTGACTAACTGCGGGACTATGAATAGATAAAATTAAGTAAGTTAGCATCAGAAATTCAGTTCCTGTATTTATAAAATGGGTATCCCAGTAGTACCTACTTTATCACATGGGGTCTTATAAGAATTCTATGAAGTCATGCGAACAGAACTTAGCACAGTGCCTCATACTAAATAACTGTTCAATAAAAGTGATCAATACATGTGTATGATTAATAAGTGCAAGATACGATATTTAGAGACCAGTGCTGTGGTGTTGTTAGGCTAAGCCAGTATACCATGTGAGTCCCAGTGCCAGTCGCAGCTGATCCATTTCCAATCTAGCTGTCTGCTAATGCCTGGGAGGTTGGGCCAAGGGCTTGAGCCCCTATACCCATGTGGAAGATCTGAATGGATTTCCAGGTTCCTGGTTTCAGCCTAACCATTGCAACCATTTGGGGAATGAATCAGCAGGTAGAAGACCTCTCTGGCGCACATGCCCACTCTCTCTAAGACTTTCAAATAAATAAATAAAGCCCTTTAAATGTGTGTGTATGTGTGTTTGAGAGAGAGAGAGAAAGATAAAGATTAAATTAAGTGGATGAAAACAAAAGGTCAGAGAAAATTGAATCATTATGAAAAGGTTCTGGATTGGTCATTGTGGTGTAGCACCTTAAGCTGCATTCTGGGAAGCCTGCATCCCATATTCAAGTTCCTGTGATTGACCTGCTCTCCAGCAGCCTGCTAATGCATTTGGAAGACAACAGATGATGGCTCAAGTATTGTAGTCGTCCATGTGAGTGACTGGTAGGGAGTTCATGGCTCCTGGCCTTAGCCTGGTCCATCCTGATCTGTCTGTTGCAGGCATTTGGGGAGTGAACTAGATGATGGAAGATTCTCTATCTCACTTTGTCTTCATTTCTCCTCTATGTGTCAGTCTGTCTCAAATAAATAAATCTATTTTTTAAAGAAAAATTTCCATAGTAGGATTGACAGATAAAATACATGTTGATCAACTAAATTTAAAATTATACAAATAAGTAATTTCTGTATAATTGTGTCCACTATTTTTAAAAGTACCTAAAATTAAAATTTAACCAGGTAGATGATATTTTTATTTGCTAAAAATGGCAACTCATGATAGAGAAGATAGAAGGTAGTCCTTGAACTGTTCATTCGAGGTGGAATAAAGGCAAAGAAACAACCATGAGCAGCAGTGACCACAGAGAGGGGCCTTGTGTTTTGAGAGGAAGGACCTAAGATCCAAAGCATCAAATGATCATGCAGCATGCACTGGCGACTCAGAGGCCAGGCTCTGGGGGTCTTAGGCAAGGAGGGAATATAAAGGGAAAGTAGCTGGGAGCAAAGGAAAAGCCGGGATCTAAGATGCCACCAATCATTTAGAATCCAGCCACTGGGAGAGGGATGCCAGCCAGAGAGATGAAGTTAGAGTCTCGGCCTTAACAGTCGTCAGACAGAGGCCTGAACTCGGGTGAAATGACAAAGGGCAAACACACAGACCTACAATGAAAGAGGGGTGTGTGGCAGGGAAGGCACCGCCACCGTTCTGAATGGGAATACATCCTTCACTACCAGAACTTTCCCTGTCCCTGCAGTCTCATTAGTGATGACCTGAATGTCAGCAAATACATGTAGGATTGGAGAGGCCTCTAGAGGGAAGTTAGAGACAGAGGGGAAAAGAGAGGGCATCGAATGCCTTCCTCGCACTTCCTAAGGTAGAACAGAGTTCCTCTAGTTCTCTCCTGGCTGTCCTCCTCTTGAGAAGCCCCACAGTGTTCTCCTGACCACCAGAAGCAGCAAAGCTCTTTAAGACAGCACGTGCAATGCCTGCAAGGTACCCAAGAACTCAGGGCAGCTCCCCTAGGCAGGGCTGTGATGCTGTTTGTGAGCTCCCAAATGCATGGCTTTCTTGCTAATGTGTGTGGCACAAAATCTTAGACAAATAAAAAGCCATGATTCCATTTGGTAGCTTTCCCACCAGGATGGCACTACCTCTCTCTAGAACACTCTCGGGCATGAACCTTTTGTTTGATTCAATGCAGCATCATCTGGTGCAGAACATCTGTCCAGAGTTCTACTGTTATGTGGGACTCAAACCCAGTGCTCATAGGACAACCAGACTCAAATGGTCTGCTTAGAACTTAGTAAGTTCTGATTACTCGCCAACATCCAGACCTACTTCCTATTTGCTCCTCAAGGTCACTTGCCACTTCTGTCCCATGTGATAAAGCCCATCCTTCCAGCAGTCCTCTTCTGTGCCACCTGCACTTGTCCAAATCCTAACCCTCCACTTCCTCATGAAGAACTCCCTAACTGCTACCAGTCATCAGGATTCCTCCCTGTGCAGAGGGAGACACAGTAAAAACCCATGGTTTCCTGCTTCATCCTAGCTGTTCATTGGGAATATTCTGTCCTGTCTTAAATTGTAAACTTCATGGGGGAGAGAGAGGAGATATGTCTTGTGCTTGCCCAAAAGCATTCAATATTCCCTTCCTATTATCTGAGTTAAAATTTAAAGTCACAATACACGTATCACACTCACGCATGTTATTAACAATTAAGAGAGACTTATGGGAATTCTTTATGTTATCCATTCTCCTGTAGGCCTGACAATAAGTCTACCAACGTTAGCAATGTTTAACATCTATTCCCAAGTGTCTTTAGAGACCAAAGATAACAAAAAGAGAAAAAGGCAAAGGCAATGTTCTACAGGTGGACTAATAATACACAAGAGTCCACCACTTTATTATATTCCAGTAGCAAACAACTAGAGTTTAGGATTAAAAACACAATACCACGTTGATATTAGCACCAAAAAAAGAGAAGGATATGTACAAACTTAACAAAATATGTACAAGGTCTATATGAGGAAAACTCTAAAATTCTGAGGAAAGAATCAAAAATCAATGGAGATATTACCTAATGCATACATGTATCATGTTGGACTCCCCCCACCCCGCCAAAAAAAATACATTTTACAAGTTAGAAATGGGGTTTTGAAAAATTTATGTCATTTATCTGAAAGGGTGATAGAGAGAGGTAGAAAGACAAAGAGAGAGTTCTTCATTAACTGGTTCGTTCCCTAAGTGACCAAGAGTGGCCAGGGCTGGCCAGGCAGAGGCCAGGGACCTAGAATTGCATCTGTATCTCCCACGTGGGAGGCATGAGCCCAGAGACTTGAGCCATCCCTCACTATTTTCCCTAAAAACTGGAAAGGCAAAAGATCCAAAGCAGCCAACACAATATTTAAGAAAAAAAAATTAGAGGACTGGCACCAGTGGGCATGAAGCCAGAGTCATCAAGACAGTGTGGTACCAGCAAAACAGAGCCACATAAACCAAATGGACAGAACAGAGTCCTGGGACAGAGCCACAGGAACACAGTTAATGCACCTCTGACAAAGGGGCAAAGCAACTCCGTGGGCAAAGAAGGATGGTTCTGGGACCATTAACAAAAAGATGAGTCCAGACACAGACCCTAGGCCTTTCACAGAATTAACTCAAAACGAATCACAGCGATACATGTAAAATGCAAAGCTGTAAAACTTCTAGAATATGACAGAAGGTGACATTTAGATGATCTTGTGTATAGTGGTGACTTTTTAGCTGGAACACCTAAGGCACAATCCATGAAAGAATGAACTGATAAATTATATTTCATGAAAATTAAAAAGTTATACTCTGGGAAAGATCCTGCTAAGATCATGAAAAAAGGACAAAGAGAAAAGTTCTGGTAAAAACACATACATGATAAAGAACTGTCATCCAAAAATATACAAAGAACTGCTAAAATCCAAAAAGCTTTGTTCAGTTTTTTAAATGAGTAGATCTTTACAATGAGTGGAAGAAATAGGCATCCTACCAGAGAAGACATACAGGTGGTGGATAAGCAAATGAAAAGATGCTCACATCATATGTCATTAGAGAACTATAAATATACAATGAGATATCACCATGTATCAACTGAAATGGCTGAAATCCTAAACAATTGCTCTCCTAGGCATTTAGCCAAGCGATTTGAAAACCTAGATCCACACAAAAGTCTTCACATGAATAGCATCTTTATTCATCATCTTCCCAAACCAGAAGTAATCAAGACCAACTTCCATAGGTGAATGGATAAACTGATACATCTCTACAATGGTACATTATTCATTGATTAAAAAAAAAAAGCAGCATGTGCTCAAGCCGTGAAAAAACATGAAGGAATCTTAAATTCTGAAATGTTACTTGGAAAATGCCAGTTTGAGAAGACTCCATACCATAGGATTCCAATTTAAGGCATTCTACACAGGGCAAAGCTATGGGGACAGTGAAACAATCCGTGGCTGCAGAGGTTAGAGAAAGAGAGGGGTGGGTGATTGGAGCACAGAGATTGTTAAGGTCAGAGAATTGAGTCTGTTTATGCCCGTAGTGGTACAGGGCTTCATGGGTGTCGTTTATCAAAACAACCCATAGAATGTATAGCACCAAGAGTGAACCCTAAGGTAGGATATGGCTTTGAGTTAATAGTAATCTATCAATTGATTATCAAATGAAAAAAAATGTGAACTGTGACGTATGTTTAACACACCATTCGAATCTGTAGCCCTGTGCTGACCTTGTGGTCAGGTTCTTTTGTAGAAAAGGATGTGTTTCCATCAGACACATCTAAATGGCCTTTGGGTAAATGTCCAGTGACCACGACCCATATTTATATCTCTAAAATACCCAGTGCTCCAATCAGCACACATAGCACCCTCTCAGTTGGGAATGAGTTCTATCAGAGGGCGACGCGGTAAGACTTACCCAAATCCTGCGACTGTCTTCTCAGTGTCACAAGGAAATGAACACTCAGGCCCTCATGGGTCTTTCTGAATAACAGTACCAGCTGCTTAGGGCATTGTCTGCTTTATGGGAATGTATGGGTTTTCATTATGGGCTGCCTGGAGTCCCTGTCCAGATTCCAGATTCCAAGCAGGGAAAGCCTGAGTGGTAGTGGTAGCTTTGGCTTGCTCCCTTTGATGGAGTCCTCCTTTAAGTGCATCAGCCAGTCAGGGTCCAACAGGCAGCAAATACATAATAATGACATGACCTTCAGTGCTATGGATACCAGATTTAAGGGGCTAGAGGCCAGTCATTGTTACCCTACCCTACCTCTGAGAGTGCCAGCAGCAATGGCCAAGGAAGAAAAATCATCAGTGGAGTCAGGCCCTGCCAAGGAAGAATCCCAGAGAGCTCTAGGAGACATCTCTAAGGTCCCAAGCCATTAAGGCCCCTGGCCATCCTGAATCCCAATCCAGAGTTCCTTCCATGTCAGCTTTCCTAGAGCTTTGTTTAATTTCTTCGAGTGGGAGAAGTAAAAATGACTTCCAAGACTGGGTGTTCCGTCACTAAGAAGTAAGCTCCAATGGTGTCCTGGATCCTATAGGACACAGTCATAATATCATATCATGGTATCCTGAATGGCAAAGTCTGAGGGAGTGGTAGCCCACCCAAGACATGAGGGCATGTCAAAAACAATGTAGAGGCCTGCGCTGTGGTGTACGCATTGTGCTGTGTTGAGCTACCAACCATGACATTAGCATCTCATTTGAGCAACAGTTTGAGTTACAGCTGCTGTACCTCCTATCCAGCTCTGTGCTAACGTGCCTGGAGAAACAACTGAAGATGGTCCAGGAACTTGGGTCCCTGCCACCCACATGGAAGACCGACATGGGCTCCCATCTTCAGCCTGGCCCAGTTAGTCATTTGGAGAATGAACTAGTGGATGGAATCTCCCTTTTTTCTCTTTTTCACTGTAGTTGTTTCAGATAAGTAAGTAAAATTTTTTTTTAGAGGAAACTATTATTTTAAAAACAGGTGGAAAAGTAGCATTAAAAGATGAGTTTATTTGATGCAAATAAAATGTTGATACCCATGCATGGTTGTTTCATAATACGAGTTTTCCATGGTCATTTGAAGAACCTACATATGCATGGGTTTCAAAATGTTTTGCACCAAAAATAAATGTCTCTTTTAATGTCATGTTCCATGGACTCTGAATTACCCTCACAACCAGGTATTTTCGGCTATGATGTTGTTACTACCAGAGGCACCATTTTAGAGGGCAAAATTATTTCATCTTTGCCTAAATGGCCACTTCAATTAGGATGAGGCTGCAGGAATTTCTCTAATAAGAGGTAAGTGGGTCCAGTGTGCTTTGAAACGATGCTGTCTGCTGATACCCTCAGAACTAAAATGGGGCCACAGAAATTGCGGAGTCACTGTTGAGTTTCTCTTCTACAAGCAGGAGCCACCCTTCATGCCATGAGAGAACAGCTTTTGGATGCTCTTCCACTTGTGGTGAGACTTGGGAAAGTCTAACTGCCTTCATTTTAGCTGCAGAGGACCTGCGGAAGCATTTTCCTCTGCACTATAGAAGTATGCCTGACATCCTTAGCACAGTGTGTGGTTCCAGCTCTTAATGAATTGCAAACCTCATCAATGTCCAATTTCTGGTTTAAAATTCCAATTTTCAGAATCATGTATGTGCTTAAACATAAAAAAGTATTGAGGTAATGGCAAAAGAAACATTGGAGAAATTGAGAAATGTCACCATTTTTTTTATTCGTTTATTACCAAATTCTTTTTTTAATGTATTAATTTCATTGCATTATGTGATACAGTTTCATAGGCTCTGGGATTCCCCCAACCCCTCCCCATACCCTTCCCCCATGGTGGATTCCCCCACTTTCTTGGCAGTATTACAGATCAAATTCAGTTGAGGTTCTTTCATTGCAAGCATATGCCAAGCAAAGAGTCCAGCATCTAAAAATGTCACCGTTGTCGGGCGTATCAAGGTGAGGGAGGGTGGAGCTGCAGGGACTCTGAATGGGAAGCCACTAGTGAAGAGCTTGGCAAGATCACAGTTCCTACTAAAATAACCCTGCTGGTTGTGACAGAAATAGAAGTGACAGGTGCCGAGTGGCTTTTCCCTCCCCTCTTTCAATCTGAACTTGAGTTCTGAGTCATTGTCTGCGTAATAGAAATATGTAATCTAGAAGCTTATACTGCTCCATCTTAAAAAAAAAAAACTAGCTAACCTATAATCTCTAGAATTTTCTATTGTCTTTTTTATATTGATTATAATCATTTCTATTTGCAATGAATTTGTGATTCCTCTTTTTATATCGATAACAATAATTTCTGTTTGTAACAAAGACTCTAAAAAGTTTATCTCAAAGTACATTCAGAATTGTACACACACACCCCAGAAAAAGCTGGAACTTGTACTAGGTTGGGATGTCACATAAGATATTGTGGGTCCTCTCACTCAGAGATGCTGACTTGACTGTCTGCTCAACAGATGATCCACATCTCCATGTCCATGCACGCAGCACATCTCTCTCTAATGGTCCCCAAAACATGAATCAAGAACACCATAGTAGATTCTACAGGTAGTTAGAGAAGGATCTAACAAAGACATGACTTTCAAAGCTTGGGAAAGCCACCAAGGGCAAGGCAGTGCTAACAGCATATGTCACCCTGCCCCAGCCTGAAGAGGGGTGATGAGAGAGAGAATTATTTCAGGACCCAGAGGGGATGACTATGTGGAGAGGGGTCCCTCATGGATACTGTGGTCCTTTATGAGAATGGTGTAAAAAGAATGTGGGAATCAGCACCCTAATTTACTCCTGCCTGCCCAATGATACCCTCTGTCTTGGTCAGCTTTGTGTTGCAACAAAATACCTGACACAGGCTATTTACAAGACAAGAGAAGTTCACTTAGTTCACAGTTTGGGAGGTTCAAGGGTACAGTAACCAATCGGCTCAGTACTGGTGAGGATCTCATGATGGTGGGTGGTGGGTAGCAGTGGTGGGAGCCCATGTCAGGGTAGGAGGCCGCATCTCAAATCAGGAGCAGACAGCAAGAACAGGTGCAGCCAGACTGGCTCCTTTGACAACGGCCCTCCCTCTGGAACAACCAGAGGATTGCATGGGAGAAAAACTCACACTTCCAATGATGACCCAAGGACCTGCCACTTTTCCCCACCTCCCCAAGTGCCCCCACCTCTCAACATTCCCAACTGGGGAATACACCTGGGCACCTTGAATAAACACAAATATACTGACTGCACAGCTCTGCCCACAGGGAGCTGCTCCCAGGACAGAGAGACGTGTGGGGACACAGCTGTGAGGAGCGAAGCTGCAGGGGCTAAGAAAAAATCTCACATCCAGAACAACTGTGATTTTTCCTCCTTTGGCCGTAGGGTTAGTACCGGGGTTAGGCTTCTCGCTGACCGGTGCGCTTTCTCTGTCTCCCCAGACCAGCCTCTGCTTTCTGACACAAAGAGGATATTTGCAACAGGAATGTGAACAAGTTTCATCCTGATTCCTGGTGATAAAACATTGTGTGCTGACCTCTTGAGCCCCAGTCATTGGTCAGGTAATAACTTGGAGGAACACACACGGTAAGTCCTGGGTCCAGGCTCGTGATCTTACCGACACCTGGCTGCCTATAATTATTGGAGCCAGTTATAAATTTCACAGTCACTGACTTCAGTGTGCAAAAATGTGATTTTCTCTATTCTCCTATAATTGAGTGTAATTTCCGCCTGGAGCCTTCATTCTGCCTCAAAGCAGCGAGAATTTAATCCAGTCACTTTCAGATAAACTCATTCAAATTCCGTTTTTTCTTACTCCATTCAAGTTTATAATTCAGCCACAATTGAGCTGAAAACTCTTCTTTCTTTGGTCTCCTGATCTCCTCCCCCCCTCAACCCTAAAATTGAATCTAAGCTCTCCAGGGCCTACCCAAGATGGCCATCTGCTTCTTGGTCTTAATTTGCTCTGTCTGGCTCTGGCCATCACAGATGCCAGGTACCCCACTGAAAGGTGGATGGTCCATGGGACCCAAAGGGATTCTCAAAGTCTCCCCATTGAGAGTGCAGTGCTGTTCTGGGCCAGCTCACTGGCTCTCCCCTGTAGCTGCTGAGTTTTATGCTCTATGGAAACTTTCAAGACAGTATGGGTGCCCTCCCATGCCACCATGCCCTGTGGGGACCTGCACCACATTATCTTGTGTCTAGACCCCATTCCTGCTCTACCATATCAAAATGACATGGGAAACAGGGCGGCTGTTTGGGGCAGTGGCCAAGGTACCACTTGGGATGCTCCCATCCCATATTGGGGTCAAGGTCACGCCCTACTCCTGACGCCAGCTTTCTGCTGATGCACACCTCGGGTGGAACCCAGGTGATGGTGGCTCAAGCACTTGAATCATCCTGCCACCCACAAGGGAAACCTGTATTTTGTTCTTGCCTCCTGGATGTCAGCCTGATTAAACATTGGATTTTGGAGAACATTTGAGAAGTGAATCTATAGATGGAAGATCTTTCTTTTGCTCGGTGTGTCTCTCTGCCCTTCTGGTAAATAAAAAAATAATAACTTTTTAAAAAAAGACAGTGGAAGGCATTGCTCCCCAGGACTTGCCGGTCTGTTGGTCTGTGTCTCCCCAGCCTCAGCTGTGGCTAATAGCAGAGGCTCAAGCACCTTCACTTTCAAAGGAGGCACTGAGAGCACAGGGGGCCCACACTTAGGTCTGACGTGTGGCTGTGCTCTGCACTTCTCCCCCACTCCAACTCTTCTGCTCCTGGGTCCTGGTGTAGCTACACATCAGACACCAACGGTAACTCTCGGCTCTAAAGCTCCATCATTCTTGGAGCGGCTTCTAACCAATAACCGTGGCTGCCTGGGCATTGAAGAAAGGCACTCAAGGCACACCAGAGAGGAAAAACGGGTCCATTTACATTCCCCATCCTGCTCCAGGGTGCTCTGTCTATTCCAATTGCCTGTGTCACATGTGGGGGGCCACTAATGGGTGGCCCCGTATTGTTTCACAACTGAAGTCAGTTCACTGCGAAGTTCTAAAGTCCAGGTGCAGTTATTAGCTTAGAAGCCGTCCTGGGAGTAGAGCAGCAGGGAATCGAACCAGAGCTCCAATCTGGGATGTCAGCATTGTGGAACAGCAGTGTAAGCCGCTGCTTTCAATGCTGGCACCAAAACATGTT